GGGTGATGCATGCTGCGAAAGCACCGCAGACTCGCAGCCTGGCTCAGGGTCCGGGCTCAGCTCTGGCGTGTCCCTCGTTCAGCTGTGACCCCAGGTGAAGCCGTAACGTGTCTGGGCCTCGGCCTCCTCCCTGTGAGGCAGGTGTTGCAGTCCCGACTCCCGGGGCCGACAGGTGGGCCCTGCGCCCACCTGAGAAGGGGAAGGTGCTGGTGCCTCGGCCCCTCCTGCTGCTGAGTGACTCACCTCCGCATGGCAGGCCGCGCAGTCCAGGGGCCGTGGCTCTGCTGCGGCTGCAGAGCCCTGCTGCCTCAGTTTCCCCATCTTCAGAGCAGGGTTACAATGATATGCCTCCCTCACCCGGTCGTTTGCGGGAGTCAGTGGGTTGGTACACGACCTGGAAGACGTACGGGACCAGGGCTGCGGCACCAACCAGGCACCGCCCTGTCCTCGTGCCCCTCGAGGGACAGGCGGCCCTGATGAGATGGAGGTTTACAGGTTCCCTGATGGGTCCCAGGCACGGGGCCCGGGAGTGGCAGCCCAGCACCCTCCCCGCGGCCTCCGTGAAGTGCGGGCACCCCGTGCCTTTCCGGGGGCTGAAGGACCAGCCTCTGGCGGCCGCTCACAGCATGCGTTCCCTGGGCCGCGGGGAAGCCGCCCCTGAGGGTGGGGGAGTGCAGTTGGGGCCCCGGCTCCTGTCACCCCTTGGCCTGCCGGTGCCTGAGGCCTGTCGTCTGAGTCTCTGCCACCCGTCCCTACTGAATTCCGAGTCATCGGATCCTCAGAGCAGACACTGAGCATCCACCAGTGGAATAGGATGAGGGCCCCTGTATCCCATGGAACCTTCCAGGAATGAGGAAAAACTTGGTGACTCCTGGCCTTTCCTGCCCCTGCTGGCGGGAGGTCAGACGGAGGGTCAGGGTCAGCGAGCAGGTCTGGTGGCCTGTCCAGAGTCACCTGGGCCGGCAGGACAGCCCTGGCCTGGGACCATAAGGAAGGGGGGACGGCGGAGACCGGGGTTCCCCCAACTCTCCTTGCATCAGCAGAGGGCGGAGCAGGCGGGTGCTCCCTGCCCCCAGGGGCAGCAGGGGTGTGGGCGGTGAGGGGCAGAACCGGGCCTCTGACCGCGAACCCTTCCAGATGGTGGCAGAGGAGAGTGAGCTGCGCTTGTAAGGCCAATGTCAAGTTTAAAACCTCCGGGCCGGTAGGCTTCAGGACAGCAGAGAACTCTAGCTCAGCGGTTGCCAACGGTGGTCCCTGAGGTCCGGAAGGTTGGCGACCGCGGCTCTAACCTGTCTCTGGGTTTAGAATACGCCTGCGGTTGCTGGAAGGGGCCGCGGGAGCTTCGCCAATAGCCCCGTCAGTGGACGCCAGCCCTGGTGACGGGTCGTGACTTGGGGGTCCCCTGACTTCCCACCTAGTGCTCTGTCCAGGTGATTTGAGGGGAGTAGCTGCGTGCGTACCCCAGCAAAGCCGCTAGCCAGCCGCGTGAGCTTCGGCAAGCCGAGACCTGTCCACACCTCAGTTTCCCACCGAGGAGAGGCGCTGACCCTAACCCTCCTGATCATAGTGTCTTTTTTGTGCTTAAGGCCTTTCGATGATGCCTGTTGCTCTTGGGTGGAGCCAGGCACACGGACAAAGCCACACTCCGTGGCCAGCTGCAGGCCCGGCCTCCCCCGCCACTGCTCTCGCACCCCGGGCTTCAGTGTCTGGAGTGTTTCCATGTCCCCACCCTCAGTGGGGCCCCCTGCTTGGAACACTTTTTCCTCCTCTGCTGTCTTTTCTCTGGCTGATTCTTTCTCTTTTTTTTTTTTTTTCATGGTCAGTCCAGCTAACGATTTACCATTTCCCTTGATTTTCTCAAGGAAGCAACTTTTGGTTTTGTTGGTTTTTCTCTAGTTTTTCTGACATGTTTTATTTATTTCAGTTCTGATCTCTATTTCCTCCCTTAAACGACTTTAGGTTTGATTTGCTCTTCTTTTTCTAGCCTGTTGGAGTGGAGCTTTAGATGATTGACTTCAGATTTTTCTTTCTAATGGAAGCATTAAAAGCTATGAATTTCCCTCTTCATACTACATTGGCTGCATCTCATACATAATGAGACGTTGTGTTTCATTTTCAATCAGTTCAAGACCTTTTGTAATTTGCCTTTTGATTTCCCCTTTGGTCCATGGGTTACTTGGAAATGTGTTGTTTACTTTTTACATATTTGAAGGTTTCCCAAAAGTCTTTCTGTTGTGATTTCTAGTTTAGTTTTGTTGTGGTCAGAGAACTTCTTTTGTGTGGCTTTTCAGTGCTGTTTTATTTACGGAGACTCGTTCCACAGCCCGGCATGTGACCTGTCCTGAGACTGTGCCATGTGCCCTGGGAGAGAACGTGTTTTCTGCTGTGGTTGGGTTGAGGGTTCTCTACATTTAATCTGGCCAGCTTGGCTGGTAATGTTGCCCGGGCCTTCTGCATCCTTACTGTTCTTATTTCTGGTTGTTCTAACCATGATCAAGAGCAGGGTATTGACATCCCCAGCTGTAATTGTTGTATTATCTTTTCTGCTTTCAGTTCCGCCAGCTTTGCTTTCTGTGTTCTGGGGCTGTGTTATTAGGTGCATACACATCTGTACTTGGTACAGCTTCTCCCCGCTCAGCCTCACAGAAATGGCCCTTCTCCTGGAGGTCTTCCCAGACCTCAGCTGGCGCTGCCTTCCCTGGCCTTGAGTTCCTACAGTGGCTTGTATTTCCCCATCGTAACATTCATCAAACTGTATTATAATTGCTTGAAAATTGCACTTATGGGCTGTGCCTTGTGCCAGCTGCCATGGACGTGCTGGTGAATTAGAATAAAAAAAGCACCTACTATGTGCCAGGCATTCTGCTGGGCCTTCCACACATGTTTCAATCTCACAGCAATCCAATAGGTAGGGGTTCCCATAGCCTTTGCAGATGGCTTGCTCAAGGTTCAGGGAGGTTCAGCGGTTTGCCCAGTCACGCAGCACTTACGTGCAGAGCAGAAAGCCTCACCTGAGTGGTTCCAGATGCCGCGGGCATCCCCTCCCCGCTCCTCCCCTGAGAGCGGAGGAGTGCCCCTCGGGGCTGTGGTTCGTGTGGCCACTTTGCCCCAGGCCAGAGCGCCATGTGTTTAAGCCACGGCATCTCACGTGGAGGTGGAAAATCATGTGGTGACTCCATTTGAAGGCAAATTAACCTTGTAGGATCTTTAATGTCATGTATCGGAGTGTCTTCCCTCCGTAATGCATTACAGCTGTCACCCCCAATGTGATCACACAATTAATGAGATTAGCCACGGTGTAAATCTCAGCTCATTATGACGGTGTCTGCGCTAATGGGCCCGTGACTGATGCCCGCGGACCGCGCTGGGTGGAAAGGACCGCGTGCGACGCGCAGGGAGGGAACAGGCAGAGGCGGCCACGGTTTCCACGCAGGAGCGAGGCTGGTTTCTGTCGTTGTCTGATGGTTCGCCAAGATCAGCCGTGAAGATGGAGCAAGGGTGCCCTTGTGTGAGGCGAGGATCCGAGGAGCCCACGGGAGCCGAGGTGGGGATGGCCCCGGTCGCCCTTTTGGAATTTCGGGAGAAGTTACCCACCGTTAACCGCGGGTGATCACCGCTTCACCTGGATCAGGGCCTGCTGAGCCCTGGCCTGGGCCGGTGTCTGCCAGGGACTCGCAGGGCTGGCACGTGGGGCGGAAATGCCGCCCCCTGGCCACCCCCGGCTTTGGGCAGTTTAAGTGGGACCTTCTCTGTGTTTTACAGAACTTCATAATGAATATTTCATAGCCGGAGGTCAGCGGCTGGGGAGGGCTCCTTCGGAAAGCCTGGCGAGGTGTTAGGTCCATGTCAAACCCGCGGAGCCGCTCGCAACGAGGGGCCTGGGAGGCAGCGCCGCTCTCCCTAGTGACCACCCCCAGCAGTGCTCACAGGTCTTCCCTGTCCCCCCACCCCCACTGCCTGCCCCCTCTGTCCATCCCCAGGGCCTCCAGCTCCGTGTGGCCACACCTTCATTTCCAGATGAAGATGCGGCTCAGGCCCCCTTGTCTGTGTTCTCTGCCTGGCTCCGCTGTGGCCTTGCAATGACCTTCAGCCCCTGTGCAGCCCTTCCCGGGTGTGGAGGACAGGCTGTGGGCAGGTCAGGGAGCACCCACCACCTGCTGGCAGCCCGGTCGCAGGAGCCGGGCACCATGGGACCGTGAGCACAGGGGGACAGCGTGGGCACCTGATTTGTAAACACCAGCCCGGCATGCCGCCCCATCCCTGCCACCTCTTGCCCGGTGTCTGCGGGCCTGGGTAGGGCTGGGCAGAGAGAGGGGGAGCTAGCCCTGGGGGAGGGGAGGAAGCCAGAGGGCACCTCCTGACTGGAGGGCACACGCTGAGGATCTCACCCATGATATAGCCAGACCTGGTTCCTAGTCCCATACCCTCCACGGGCGTGAGGGCATCTCCACGAAGCAGGGCAGGTGGGAACGTGCACCCATCACATAGGGAAGGGCGCCCGATGTGGTTGGAAAGCGGTGAGCGAGTGAGTGAAGGCCCCTGGCGGGGGGAGGGGGGCGGGGTCCCCCAGCACATGGCACAGGCACAGGCTCGGTGTGGACCCTGAGCTCCAGAGGAGGGGAGAGCCAGACCGGACCCCATATGGGCGAGGCATGGGGTCGCTGTCTCACGCGAGAGGGGGTTTGTGGTGACGCTGCCTGGCGGGTGTTACAGTTTACAACGCGCACCCTGGCTTTCAGCAGTGATGTGTTTACCCCCATCTTTCTTAGTTTCCAAACAATATCACGTGACAGGCAAACACACATGCACACAGAAAAAATCCCACACTTGACTGAGAGCAGTTCATCTGTCCTGTGTTTGGGGCCAGTGGTGATGTTTTCATTGCTTTGCACAGTTTTGGAATCATGGAGGAACGTTGGGGGCCTCTTCACTCCTCTGCCCCCCAAATCTGACTTTCCCCTTCACACCCCTCTGGGTTCAGGGTGCCCCCAGCCCTCCCCCAGCTTCAGGACACATCCCTCTGGGTTGGCATCATCTTAGAACATCTCTGCACAGATAACTCTGCTATACAATCTGTATCAGTCAGGAGAGGCTCGCTGCGTAACAAAAGCCCCCCCCGCCCCCCCGCAGCGAATGGCTTAACACTGTAGATCAGCAGTTCTCAACCTTCCTAATGCCTGACCCTTTAATACAGGTCCTCATGTTGTGGTGACCCCCAATTTCATTGTTACAAATTGAACATAATGAAAGCACAGTGATTAATCACAAAAACAATATGTAATTATATATGTGTTTTCTGATGGTCTTAGGCGACCCCTGGGAAAGGGTTGTTCGACGCCCAAAGGGGTCGCGGCCCACAGGTTGAGAACCGCTGCTGTAGATGCTTATTTCATGCAGCAGCCCACCCAGGGGTCCCTGTGGGCAGATCTCCTGCAGGCGTGACCTTGCGGGGCTGCCGTCTCCTTAGGCCTCGGAGCGCTTCGCTTCCCGACCTGGTGGGAAGGGGGTGCACAGGGCGGGAGGTTCGCGACAACGGACCAACGGGCAGCAGCGACGAAGACCAGGGGCGCTGAGTGCTGGAAACCTGAGCTCCAGAGCCTTTGAAAACCTCCTCCTGTCCTCGCCCTGGGAGCCAGTGAAACTGGGGTGCGGGCTGGCGCCAG